GGAGTTGTGGGGACGTCTCTTCCCGGCCCTGGAGCCCTGGCCTGGGGGCCCACTGTGGGGCTGGGACCCCTCCCTCCTCCAGGAAACCCCCACCTCGGAGATGCCCTCCCGGGTTTACCCTGCGGCACCGGCTGTGGGCCCGTGGCAAGTCTCCAGGATTCAGCCCCGATCCACCCGCGTCTCCGCCCCTCCTCCCGCTCTCGGTGCTCCTTCAGCTCCCTGGTTGTGGGGCTTCTGTTCAGCCCGATCTCAGGAGGCTCTGAGTGATGGTGGTTCTGGATTTTAGTTGTACTTTTGATGTGGTTGCGGGAGGCGGCGGGTGAAGCTGTTACCTACTCTGCCAGCTTGTTTCTCTCCTCAATTTCTTGTTATAGGCCTGCTAAGATTTTTTTTATTATTGAATCAATTTCGGAAGTTTGTCTTTTTAGGAATTTGTCCATTTCACTTACATTTATCTAAGTTGTTGGCCATACAATTGCTCATACTAACCCCTTATAATCCTTTTTATTTCTATAAGGTCAGTAGTATGACCCGTCTTGTGTATGACCCTTAGACCAGGTCCCCTTTCCTGATTTTAGCAGTTTGCGTCTTTTTTTCTTTTTGTCTTGGTCAGTTTAGCAAAAGGTTTGTTTTGTTGATCTTTTCAAAGAACCAACTTTTGGTTTTGTTGACTTTCTGTTCTTTCTAATTTCTATGTTATTTATTTCCACTATAATCTTTATACTTTCCTTTGTTTTGCTTGTTTTGAACTAATTTGCTTTTCTCTTTGTAATTTCCTAAAATGGAAGATTAGAATATAATTTGAGATCTCTTTTCTTTTTTAATGTAGGCATTCTCAGCTAAAATCTCTCACTAAGCACTACTTTAGCTGTGTAAGTTTTGTTATGCTGTGTTTTCATTTTTACTATATATATCAAAGTGATTTCTTCTTGGCCTGGCTGGCATGGCTCAGCAGTTGAGAATTGATCTCTAATCAAAGAGATCCTGGTTCAATTCCCTGCCAGGGCACGTGCCCGGGTTGCAGGCTCATCCCTAGTGGGGACCGTGCAGGAGGCAGCCGATCAATGACTCTCATCATTGATGTTTCTATCTCTCTCTCTCCCTCTCCCTTTCTCTCCCTGAAATCAATAAAGGTATATTAAACAAAAAAGAGTGACTTCTTCTTTGACCCGTTTTTTGGTTAGGAATGTATTTAATTTCACATATTTCTTTAATTGTCCAAATTTCCTTCTGCTATTGGTTTCTAATTTCATTCCATTGTGGTCAGAGAACTAATTATGTATGATTCAATTCTTTTACATTTATTAAGACTTGTTTTATGACTTAATATATGATCTGTCATAGAGAACGTTTTATTTGAGAAGAATGTGTGTTCTGCTGTTGTTGGGTGGAGTGTTCTATAAATGTCTGTTAGGTATAGTGATTTATAGTGTTGTTCAAGCCTTCCATTTCCTTGTTGATCTGCTTGTAGCTCTCCCCATTATTGAAAGTGGAATACTGAAGAATCCAACTATTATTGTTTAATTGTCTATTTCCCTTCAGTTCTGTCAGGTTTTGCTTCATCTATTTTGGGGCTCTGTCGTTAAGTGCATATATATTTATAATGGTTATATTTCCCTAATGGATTGACCATTTTCTTATTATAAAATGTCTTTCTTTGTTTCTAGTAACAATATTTGTCTTACAGTCTTTATTGTCTGATATGAGTATAGCCGCTCTAACTCTTTTTTGGTTGGTTTTCATAGTGTCTCTTTTTCCATTATTTTAGTTTCAGCCTATTAGTTTCTTTGAACCTAAAGTATGTGTCTTGTTGACAATATACTGTTGAGTATATGTTTTTTCATTCATTCTGTCAATCTCTGCCTTTGATTGGGGTGTTCAATTAATTTACATTTAATGGAATTACTGATAACATAGTATTTATGCCCACCATTTTATTTGTTTTATTTGCTCCTGTTAAATATTAGATATTTTTAGTATACCATTTAATTCCCTTAGTTATTTTACTGTATTTTAAAAACCATTTTCTTAGTTGTTGTCCTATACATCTCAACTTATAATAATTTAGTTTAGATTAATACCACTGCCTGTTCTTCCTCTCCTTTGTGCTGTTTTTAAAAAATACATTGTATGCCCATCAACACAAATTTATATTTATTGCTTTATGCAGTCGTCTTTTATATCAGGTAGAAGAATAAAAGTTACAAACAGAAAAATACAGTTATGCTGTTACTTATTTAGTCATTCATTTATTTTGCTGTCTTCTTTATGTATCTATGTATTTAACTCTATTAATGCCTTTTATTTCTTCACACGGGTTCAAGTTATTTTCTAGTGTTCTTGCATTTTAGCCTGAAGGACTCCCTTTATTGTCAAGCAAGTCTGTTGGCAATTAGTTTTCTCAGTTTTTGGTTATCTGGAAATGTCTTAATTTCACCTTCATTTTTGAAGGATAGTTTTGTTAGTGTATTCTTGGCTAATAATTTCTCTCCCCTGCCCCCC